GAATTGTGGTTACCAAAGGTGCTCAGGAAAGTTCACCCTGTGTTCCACTGTAGCTTCTTGAAACCCTTCCAAGTCTCTAAGTTAAGGCTAGTCAAAGGGGAACCTCTGCCTCCTGTTGTAGTGGGGAGAGAGAGGAACACAATGAGATCAAAGAGCTGTTAGACTCTCAAGATACTTTAAGGGGAAATTACAATACTTAGTGCAGTGGAAAAAATACCCCTCAGCTGATGCTGAGTGAGTAAAGGCCCGTAATGTTAGTGCAGAAAAGTTACTAAGAAGATTCCATGTAAAATATCCTCAATGACCGAAGAGATTATTGAAGGCTAAGTCTATCTAGGTAATGGTGTTTATGATGTCTTTTTCCTTCAGGGGATTGGCATGTCAAGATTGAACAGCTTTGCTCCTTTCAAACCTTAATGCTTTTCAACTAGACAATGAACTGGGGGAGGGAAGAGGGGAAATAGAATGCTGAGATTGTGTGAATGGACTTGTGAAAGCTTGGCAACCATCAAGGTCATTATTACAGGTGCATGAGAAAGAGATGAATTGTTCCCATAACAAAAGGATGTCTCATAATTGGACAATGTGGAGAAGGGGTGTCAAGAGAAGGGGTGTCAAACTCAAGGCCTGCAGGCCGCCTCTGACCGCAGGTTGTTTAAATCTGGCTTACAGGGACAGCCTGGAAATATCAAAGGATTGGCCTACGGTGCCTCTGCCAGCCAAAACAGGCCACGGGGCTGTGTGCAGCCTCCCAACCCATTTTTGGCCTCCACAGCCTCCTGCAGCACTCTGACAGCCAAAAATGGGCCACTCTGTGTGGCCCATTTTTGGCTGGCAAAGTGCTGTTGGGGGCCGTGGAGACTAAAACAGGCCATGCGGGGACCTCGCAGGGCCTCCGTGCACCCTGTTTTGGTCGGCAAATTGGTGCAGGAGGCCGTTCAGCCCGAAAAAGGGCAGAGTGGGCCATGTGCAGGTCCCCGGCTCACAGTTTTGGCTGACAGGGTGCTACAGGAGGCATCCATCCTGTGCCTCCCACTAACCTGAGGAGAACTACAATGCTGATCCAGTCCTTGAAGAAATCCAATTTGACACCCCTGACCTAGAGGTCAGGAGAAAGGGAAGCTATTGTTTAACTAAGCAAGCATTTACGCAGGAAAACCAGAACTGGTTTTGATTCTTCAGTAACAAAATGGTGTATCCAATAAAATTTTACTTTTGGGAATTCAAAGCTCCTGAGAGTATTTCCTTCTTTTGGGTTCACTAGTTGGACAATTGACAGTCAGATTGTTCTTGCTTTGAAGCAGAAGCTAAGTAAGGACTCAAATATCAGTTACTACTTCCATTCAATTTTTCATAAACCAAATATTGTCAAGAATTCCATCAGATGTTTGAGTCTTTGAGAGAGAAGGTTAAATTTTATAGTTACACAGAAATATCTCATACTTACAACATCTTGAAAAAAATAGTTGTGTTATTAATTAGATTCCAAAGATTATTCGGAATTTCCAAATCTTTAGGTACTTTGGATGAATTGTCTAATGTTTGCCTTTCAAATAGCAGAGCCATTACAAATTGTCCAAATAATTCTCAATTTCAAATGTGTTTGGGAGGTAAGGTAGGAAGGGTTTGGTTAGCAAATTTGGGGATTTTATAAGCTGCCCAGTTGTTGGGGACAGTTAAATAGATTTTTGATGGAAAATACTAGGATCTAAAATTGGAAACAAACTCTTGATTTATCTTTTTTCTATATATCTTTTTAGTGACTGCAAGGAAAATAAAGGCATTTATGCTACACTCCGCTTGGAAAACCTCTTCAATATCCATACAATCCTAAACGTCAGCATGGTGAGTTTAACAGTTTATGAGTATCTTAGTACTTTACTATACAGTCTTTTGCATTTTGTTCTATTTTGATTTTGCTAGAAAATATGATTTACAAGAAGTAAGCTGTTTGTGTGTCGTAGTGATTGAATCCCTGACCTTGTTGATGATTCTCACTCTGTCAAGGACCTTGGAGTTCTCATATCAAATGACCTAAGTGGCAGAGCTTACTGTAACAGCATTGCCAAAAAGGCATTAAGAGTTGTAAATCTAACATCTTATGAAGGTTCTCCTCTGGAAATATCGAATTGCTAACTAGAGCATACAAAACTTTTGCCAGACCAATACTCGAATACAGCTCATTAGTCTGGAATCCACACTGCATATTGGACATTAATACAATCAAGCGAGTCCAGAAGTATTTCATGAGAAGAGTACTACACTCTTCTGCTCACAACAGAATACCCTATATCACCAGGCTTGAGATTTTGGGGTTGGACAACTTTGAATTACGCCACCTACGGTTAGACTTAAGCGTAGCACACAAAATTATCTGCTACAATGTTCTACCAGTCAATGACTACTTCAGCTTCAACCACAACAATACAAGAGCACACAACAGATACAAACTCAATGTAAACCGCTTCAAACTCGATTGCAGAAAGTACGACTTCAGACACAGAGTGGTCAATGCCTGGAACGCACTACCTGACTCTGTTGTTACATCCTATTCCTTTAACCTCAAACTGACCACTATTGACCTCACCCCATTCCTAAGAGGTGTGTAAGGGGCGTGCATAAGTGCACCATCGTGCCTACTGTCCCTGTCCTATTATTCCCATTTATTCGTACCTATTTCCTGTATTCTTACTCATGTTTATACTTATACCTATTATCTTGTAAGTGATTGACAAATCAAATCAAATCAAATCAATCAATCAATCAATCAATATATCTAGAGGGATTTATTGCAGCCATTAGGTGGGTTGACATGGAAAAGGAATAATTTGTGGTACTCTGATCTAGTTGTTTAGCCTTGCAGATTTAGAACATAGAACATAAAATAACAATTTAGAAGAAACTTTGGAAGTGTTTTAGTCCATCTCTGTGCTCGGGCAAGAGACTCTATACCATTCTGGACAAATGTTTGTGCAATCTCTTTTTGAGCACCTCCAGTGATGGAGCACCCACAATTTTTAGAGGCAAGCCTTTCCACTGATCAATTGTTCTCACTGACAGGAAATTTCTTCTTAGTTCTAGGTTGGATCTTTCTTTAATATTATCCTTGTCCGGCCCTCAGTTGCTTTGAAGAATATGTCAATTCCCTTTTCTCTGTGACAGCTCCTCAAATATTGGAAGACTGCTATCGTATTGTGGGAAGAAAGGATAGGCTATTGATCTATAAAATTCAACAAGGCATTTGGATGACAGCAGACCCCAGAATAAAAGAGACATGAACCAAAGTTTTAGATAGGATGATTTCAAAATGTACCAGAGCTGAGCTGTTGTGATAGAATGTGATTTTGCAAAGTCATGTAGTTTTGAAAACCTAGCTGTGAGAAATAGGGAACAGAAAGTAGCTGATGGATAGAGGTTTGAGATGTATACAGGTGTATGTGGAGACTGTCTGTCAGTAAGAAAGAACAGAGAAGTAAGTTGTGAAATGCATGCAGAAAAGTATAAAAAGAATGTCTTGGGATGTGTTCAGGGCCTGGTTACTCCTTGCCGGATTCAGCCATGTCAGTGGACCTCATTGCAATGAGTTATTTGATATAAGTTGTGTTATGATAGCTGTTCATGTTACAAATTGCTCGTGAAATAAACCTCTGATCTTAAAGTAGGATTTATTGCTTGTGGTTTGTCTGTGTTCCTCTTTTACTGAATTATTTTTACAACGGTATCACCCCTAGTACTTCTCTTCATTAGACTAGACATACCCAGCTCCCCCAACCACTCATCATATGTTTTAGCCTCCAGCCCCTAATTCAGTTGCGACTTTGAATGGTTTAAAACCAGTGCTGCTATGCACTGCATTATTGTAAGCCACTTCTGTGAAAGGAAGGTCAGTCCAATAATCCTGTGAAAGGAAGGTCAGTTCAATAATGTAACATCTTAATTATTGTTCTAAGACTCCATTTGTGCATTCACAGCTTCCATTCATCTGGGGATGATGACAGGAGCTAAGCTCTTGGGTGGTGCCAAGCAATGTTAGGAATTCTTGCCAAAATTGTGAATTGAACCATGCGATTTGAGATACTTTGCTCTGGTGATCCATGAAGTCTATAAATATGTTGCACAAAGAGTTTGGCTATAGTACGTGCTAAGGGAATTTTGAGGTAAGGCACAAAGTGCATTTGTTTAGAGAAGAGGTAGATTATCACCCAAATGGGTGTGTTTCCTGAACTTTCTGGTAACTTTACTATACAGTCCATGGAGATTTTTTCCAGGATGGTTGAGGTTTTGCCACTGTTCGAAGGAAACCTGGGGTTTTCCTGAACATCTTTTGGCTGATGAACATATAGGGTAGCTAGCCACATAAGTTTCAATGATCTTTTTTTGATATGGCCACCAGAATTGGTGCTTCAATTAGGTGTAGGAAAGTGGTTTTCCAGTTGTTCCCCTCTTTAATCCGTAGTCTGTAGTACGCCTTTCATAGATGTAATTTGGTGAAGATCTTCTTCTTTGCCAAGTGGGCAGGCATGTCTTTCATTAACAGGGGGTAAACTTTCTCAGCACAAATAGCATTTAACCCATGCTAGATGGTGGGACCCATCCTTCTTTTCCTGGAATAGGACCAAGGCAGCCATCCATATTTTGGTTGTCTGGATAAATTACCGCTGCAAGTTCTTATCTATAAAGGACCGGAGCTTGTCTAGCTCCTTTGGAGTTATGGTGTATAATTTAGGTTTGAGTAATTTGCCTCCCAGCAATATTTCTATAACTCAGTCGGGGTAGTGGTGAGGGGAGAGCACATCTGAGTCTTTTTCATTGAAAACCTAATCCCAGTACTCCTTGGGATTCGGGGGGTCTGCCTTGGTTCATTGCCATATCACTGCAGCAACCTCTCCTTTTACTTACCTGCCAAACGTTGTGAGGCTTTTTCTGAATGGTTTCCTTTTGGGCTCTCTAACAGTTGACTTTTGCTGAATCTTTAATATCCGCCTCCTCTGATTCACATAAGGGTTCCATTTCAGGAGCCATGCAGATCCAGTATGAGGGGTCTACCCATGCCTTGTGCCACAAAAAAGCTCAGGGTTTCCTCATTTTCATCTCTATCAGTTTGGTGACAAATGTTGCATAGGCTCCCTGCTATCAAACCATGGCTTTGAAGTTTGGTGCCTCTTCAAGTTTCACATTCCACTCTCACGGTCCATACTTGATCAGCTGGTGTGTTCCGGATTGACACCTCTGGTTCCTGTCACCCTGTCATTCTCTCTCTTCCTCCTTCTGTCCATTCCTTACTTCCCATCCTCCTCCTTACTCCCTTGTGTTTTATGGCAGAATGTCAATGAAGAGAGCTATGCTGAAGATGGCAGATCTGACATGTATCTGATTTGTTGTATGTGATAGGTATGAGGCACTTCTAAAAAAGACACTTGGAAATGAGAGGCATCAAAATTTGAGAATTGTTTCCTTTCACCTCTTTTCCCACACAGTATGCAGAAGATGTGTCCCTTAAAATCAAGAAAATCAATATAAATTTAAGCAATATAGTTTTACTGAGCAACACTGGAAAAGAGAACTTGTTGAATTTTGGTTCTTCGGGAATAAATGAAATCAGCTATGCGGCATACTTGTCAGAGGTAAGCTGTTGACTAAATCTCTAATTCTAGACACCTGACAGGGAGCCATTTTTTCACTTTGCTTTACTCTGATAGTTATAAGAAGCAACTATTATATAACAGAATAACAGTTGGAAAAGACCTTTGAGGTTTTCTAGTCCAACACTATACCATTCCAGACAAGTGGCTGTCCAGTCTCTTCTTCAAATATATACTGTATCATCTACATACAAAGTACTTTGCCTCATTTTGAAAACAAAGTAATACAGGTAATCCCCAGGTTGCAAGTGTTCCCTTAGCGATTGTTCGAAGTTACATGACAAACGCTCCCTAGCATTTACGAATCAGTCCCAAAATTACAAATGTTGCAGAAATTATGAATGTTGCAGCAGCAAAAAAATTGTTTAAGAATGACTGTAGAGGCTCTGCAACATTAGTCTTGCCTATTCACTCCCCTCACCACCCCCACTGGGTCTTCTCAGGCACTCTGCCTGTGGAGACTCACCTTGTGAAGATCTCTCTGTCGTGATTTCTTTGCCTACTTCGTTGCTTCAGGCTTTTGGTACATTTATAGAAAACAGAGGCCTAGCATACTGCGAGATCATGCCAGATCAGTAGCATGATCTCACATGATCTCACACTTTAATCCTCTATTCTTTGAGGCATGGACGTTTGCAAACTAAGTGAAGGCTTTGGTCCTCAGGCCTTCCCTCTGTTTACCATTTCCTTGCCAAAACCTGCAAGGGAGATTGCATCTCTGTGGGTTTTGGCAACCCTTTGAAAAAAAGCCTTTATCAGCATCAGCAAAGCTTGGGAGGAGTGGAAGCCTCCTACTGACAAATGCTTTTTTCAAAGGGCTGCTGAAGCCTATAGGGACGCCATCCTCAAGCTCTTTGGTGACAAAAAAAGGAGGCCTGGAGGTGGTACGCGGTCCTCTGTGCCTCCTTTTTCATTGCCAAAACTTTCCTCAAGCAGTTTGGCTGGAAGAAATGAGGCCTAGAAGGACGCAGCCCTCCAAAGCCATCCTCAAGCGGTTTGGCAGCGAGAAAGGAGGCCCAAAATGGTGCGTGTGGCTCTCCAGGCCTCCTTTTTTGTCACCAAAGCCATCCTCAAGCAGTTCGGCAGCAAAAGGAGGCCTGGAAGCCTGTGCATGGCCCTCTGTGCCTTTTTTGTCGCTGAAGCCATCCTCAAACAGTTTGGCAGCAAGAAAGGAGGCCCAGAATTGTGCATGCAGCCCTCCAGGCTTCCTTTTTCATTACCAAAGCCATCCTTAAGCCATTCAGCAGTGAGAAAGAAGGCCCAGAATGGTGTGCATTGCCCTCTAGGCTTCCTTTTTCATCACCAAAGCTGTCATCAAGTGGTTCGGCAGCGAGAAAAGAGGCCTGAAAGGCCGCATGCACCCTTCCAGGCCTCCTTTCTTGCCGCCAAATTGCTTGTGGAAAGCTTCAGTGATGAAAAAGGAGGAAGCAGGTGAAGAAACAGGCTGGAGAGGAGACAGACCTTCATCAGATAAGTGACTCGGCACAGCAGGATGGGTGGGGGGAGCAATTGTGAGGGTCCCAGGGGAGGGAGAATGAGCTGTGGGTCGGAGGAGGCCTTGGGTAGTCTGAAGCAGGTGGCCTGTTCCTGTCCTTCTCCACCCCGAGATGCCTCACATGCATTTAACAAATTGTGAATTCAATTAGTGAATGCTTGGGCAAAAGGAGGGAGTGATCGTGTTCAAGGTATGAGATTCACTCCTACAAATCCTCGGGTTACGAATGGAATGGGAAGGCTCCATTACATTCATAACTTGAGGACTATCTGTATTGCTTATGTAGCCAGACCAGGCTGCCAGAATCAGAATGGGAAACAAACACACATGCACTTTTTGAAGACCTGTCTTTGTCCTGTTAAGCCTTTGACAATCTTCGTTGTACTATCAGACTGATTTTTTTTGTTGCTACAGATTAACCCTGTTCTCCCTCTAAGTCTAATGCTGCATGATTTTCTGTCCTCTCTTCCTCGCTCTAGATTAACAAGAGCATCACCAAAATTGATCTATTGTTATATGCTAATGATTTGGAAGCCAGAGCAGATCAGCTGGTAAGTTGAGCAAGTGGCAATGTTGTAACTACTGAATGGCTGAATGGCTGTCTTAAAGCATGCATAAAATAGAGCATTCTGTAGCAGTTGTTCTGGGGCTCAGGGTTGGGAGTTACAGCAAGGTTTCAAAAATGTCTTTTGAAAGTCGTGGATAATGTTAGGCCCAAAATAACTAAGCCCAGTCTGCAGAACATAATTGTTTAGGAGAAAAGAGGCAGGTTCATGTTAGAAAACTTGTTTTGCTTCTTTTAAGACCCCCACAAGACCATCTAGAATACTTTTAGGAAGAATGTAGATTTTCATCTTGAACGGGAACATGACAATTTAGAATGTTCCTGTTGTTAATCAGCTGCTGGCTTGAAATCTCATGTTACACATTTATAATGAAACTTCTCAGTAGCAGGCATCTGCAATTTTTGATCTCTTGAAAAAATGGTTGGGTTTACATCACATGAAAGCATGTATTTCCCTTGATAATGGATTATTCTAAGTGGAAGCATGCAGACAGGAAAAGAAGGAATATCAGTTTTCTTTTCTGATATTATTGCTTTTCTGCTCTAACAGCAGAATAACTTACATGTTGGAAACCATACATTTAATTGTTTCCTTGCATTTCTAGCCCAAAGGAGCATTAGAAAACGCTTTGAAAGGACATGCAAATACGATTCGGCTGATACATAACCAGCAAGTTGTTCCGTTGGAACAAGGAATGGTAAAAATTTTTTACAGTAATATTGGAATCTGTAATGTATCATATTGATAAACTGGAGCAAGTCCAGAGAAGATTACCAAGATTTATTTATTAGTTTGCTTATTTATTTATATGTCAAATTTATATAGTTGCCCATCTCACAAAACAAATTACTCTGGGCAGCATACAAGAAGCTACAATTAATAAATACAAAAAAAAATCATTAAAACATTAACATCTATAAAAACAAAACTAAAACTAAAACTAGGAAATATTGGATGAAGAAGTGTAAATAATAACTCTCTCAATACTTCACCAATACCCTGGGGTCCTCAGGGTTGATGTCAGATGGTGAAAAGACCTAGGTGTGTTTAGCTTATAGATGAAAGGTTTGAGAGGGACATGATGGGCAGATATCAGATATCAAGGGCAAAGATTTATTCTCACTTGTTCAAGAAGTCAATACTAAAACAAATGGGGCAAAACTTCAAGGATAAAGTAAACTTTAGGATGAATTTATTGATAGTAAGAGTGGGCAATCAATAGAACAAGTTATTTCATGGAGTGGTTTCTCAGCTGAAAATTTTCAAGCAGAGGTTGTACAGGGATGATATATGCATGAACTTGATGATCTCATAGGTGTTTACAAATTAACAGAGTTGGAAGGGACCTTGTAGGTCATCTAGTCCAACCCCCCCCACCCAAGCAGGAGATCATATACCATTTCTGAAAAATGGCAGTCCAATCTCCTCTTGAAAGCCTCCAGTGATGAAGCTCCCACAACTTCTGAAGACATGTTGTTCCGTTGGTTGATTGTTCTCACTGTCAGAAAATTTCTCCTTATTTCCAGGTTAAATATCTCCTCATTTGGTTTCCATCCATTATTCCTTGTCTGGCCTACAGGACCTTTAGAAAATAGCTTGACCCCTTCCTCCTCTCTGTGGCAGCCCCTCAAATATTGAAGCACTGCTATCATGACTCCCCTGGTCGTTCTCTTCATTAAACTCGCCATGCTAAGTACTTGCAAACGTTCATTGTATGTTTTAGCCTCCAAACTGGTTGAACACCACCTCCCCGCCAATGTCTGTGGGTGCTAATTTTCTCTTAATGTTGCGGTAATTTGTCTTGACCATCTTCTTCTCTGAAAAGTCTCTATTGTTTTCTTCATAATTTTTCCTGCTGAGTAATTTTAATCATCCTCAATCTTTTATTTCAAAAACTGGCTGTCAAGAAATATGTTAGAGCTAGGGTAAGTGTTTTTCCTTTCTTATACTGAAATCGAATAATTAGCTTAAGCCTGTTTCAGACAGTCTTTATTAAGCATGTAACTAAGCTTGACTTCAGTTGAAGAAAAGACTAAAAAGTATCAAAGACTTCACAGTAAATTACCTTTGCTAATGTTGAATGTTAGTTCAATCACTAGAAGTATTTTTAAAAGCACGAAAGCATGTTAAAAATCATGAACACTGGCTACATAGATTTGTAAAGAAAATAATTTTGAGATACTTTTATAATCTTGGTCTGCTTGCTATAATTCTCCAATATTCAAGACACTCAGGGTCTGCAAACTTTAATCTATTTGCCCCCATTATCTCAAGGACAGAGAGTGGATATTTTTTTCTGCTTATTTTTTCTTCTTCTTAACAGCAGTGGAGAATAAGGACTGAGATGAAATGCTGTGCATATGCTAAAATTTACAATTCAAGAAGAAAAGCACAACTCTTCACAGGCTGAAGGTTATAGAAGCAGCTCAGCAATTATAGCATCAAATAATTCTAGTATTTTCCTGTCTCTTACCACACTGGTTGGTGTATCATGCAGTTTAACTAATCGGCTACTAGATATTTTATACAATTATAAAGGACCAGCTTTAAAACAGATCTTTGCATGTATCTGCGACAAGATTATAAAAGTATCTCAAAATTATTGCATATCTTTATTTTCACAATTATAACAATTCCCCTCCCCACATACACACCTAAGCATTAAAAGTAATGGCATAAAAAGTGTGTGGCTCAAGCTATTAGAGATAAAATCTTTGTTTTCTTTATTATAAACTAGAGTACTTTAAACCAGAGTATTCGGTTACTACAGAAAACGTCATTAGAACTTCCAGTAAGTTTTTCTTTCTTATCTTCTACAATAAATGAACATTTATTTCTCAGTGTTTTGCTTATAATAGGCCAAGTGTTTGTTAAAAACTAGCTATTTTTTTAAAAAAGTTTTAATTAAGTATTAAAGAATAAGCAGAACATTTTAATGAATTTTATCTCCATTTAATAGGAAATTAAAGAAAAGTGATCTATCTAGTTTGCTTTTTAAATATCCTGCTATGGATTTTAATCCTTTTTCTTTAAATAACTATGGAAATCTAGATTTTAAAAAATTGCAGTGTCTGGCTAGGCACTGTTTCAAGACCTTAATTCATCACAATTGGAGGATGGGTTTCACTTAAGGTCTTTTCTCCGGCTTTTTCAGGAAAAAGTGCGAAGTGTAATCAGTGCCATTGAAGCCACTCAACTTCTTATAAACAACAATGCTTCATTTATAATTGTCCAGGTAAATATTTTTGTCATAGTAACCCTTAAAAGAAATCCTTACACTGAACATAGCTTTGGATTCTTATATGCCTCTTAACAATGGTTTCTTTCTTTCAAGGAAGCTAAGAAATACATGGATACTATCTTAGGTTACTTTGAGCAGTATTCAGTATGGGTGAAGGATTCGGTAAGACCTTTTGGTTTATTGGATTGTTTTCTCATCAGTTATGAAAATCTAGATCAAATATGCAGCCAAGAATCAAAACTGAATACATTTGAATTCATTTCTGTCTTAAGATGGGTGTGGAGAAGCATGTTCATGGACACATTAGAACATCAAATCTGTGTCTCATCTCTTGCAGATTACTACACAAGTAGCAACCTGTAAACCAATTGCAAATACGATTGATACAGCTGTCGATATTTTTCTGTGCAGCTATGTAATGGATTCTTTGGTAAGTGGGAATTAGAGGAGGGTGTGGGTGTTTAAGCCATCTCTCTGCCAGAAACTTTATCTGCTCGTTAGAGTGAAGAAGCCAATAAGATTGATAATGCTTTTCTATTATAGTTTCTCTGTGGATTTATGCCACTTTCTGTTGGATTCCTCATAAAACAAATTTTATGATAAATAAGACTGATAACCAGCCTTATTCAAACATATCTTTATCAAGCTAAAGGAAGGATATAAAGGAAATCGCTTTATCAAGATAAGGGAATAAATAAGAAAAAAATATGGCTGCACTAATGTGTGTGTATTTTGACTATCTGAAAATACTAAGTCAAGGAAAGATTTTTTTTAACTGCCATTTAAATATGAAACCAAACCAGCTTGCTATCTTTTTAGTTTGATTCATGTAAAATTAGCTGTCCAAAACAAAAATCTGAGTTTTTGCTTTGTTTTAGACTCTTCCTAAATCAGAGCTTCACAGCAGAATGATCTCATAAAACTGAAAAGTGTTATGTAAAAATGGGAATTGCAGGTGATTCTTGGAAGCTGATGGCCTGCTTGGAGGCCAGGCCCTTCTTTGCATGGTTTTGTCCCTAAGGTCTTCTGCTTATGGTTTTACAATCTGTCTCTGGTTTGGGCTACCCCATCCACAGAAGGATCTCTAGTAGGGCTCTGCAGGAGGTTCAGATTCCACAGGGAAAAGCTCCATCCTGACTCACCCGGAGGAGCAAAACAAGAAGGAAGTTGAATTCAAGGCTAAAGTAAACTTTCCATGCAAGAAAAGACTTAATGGCCTATGACAGTGATGGCTAACCTATGACACGTGTGTCACTCGTGACACGCCGAGGCACTTTGACTGACACGCCTGTTGGTCCGCTCGGGAGGAGGGGGAGGAGGTGGTGGCGGCGGCTCGCGTTGTTTTCTGAGCTCTAGGCTCTAGGCTCGCGGCCTCAGAAACCCACGCCGCGCGCCACCACCACCTCCTCCTCCTCCTCCTCCTCCTCCCGAGTGGACTGAAAGCAGCTGGGGCTGAGGAAACGAAGCCAAGCAGAGTCGAAGCCACCTTGGCTCGCGTTGTTTTCTGAGTCCACGAGCCTAGAGCCTAGAGCTCAGAAAACAACGCGAGCCACCGCCACCACCTCCTCCCCCTCCTCCCGAGCGGACTGAAAGCAGCTGGGGCTGAGGAAACGAAGCCAAGCAGAGCCGAAGCCACCTCGGCTCGCATTGTTTTTGAAGTGACACACGACCCGAGGAAGGCTACACTTTTTCCCGATTTTCGACACACCAAGCTGAAAAGGTTAGCCATCACTGGCCTATGATCTCATGAGCAGTAAATGTCTTTGCTAAGTTGGAGGGCTTAGCAACTATACTTGAACAACTGCATCCCTTGAAACACACATTTTCATCCTTCTTAAAACTGAAGTTTTGCTTGTTTATTGCTAGAATACTCAAGTGACTCTAGTTTGGTGTTTTTACCTAAGTGAAAAAGGATGAATAGCTTTGAGATGAAGCTTACAGAAGGAATGAGGAAGAAGCATTCCAAGCAGCTTGGATTAGATATGCATCCAATTGTTCTTTTTCCTTTTTGTTAGAATGCTTTCTGGTTCGGACTAGGAGGCTGTTGCATCTTGCTGATCCCTGCCATTATTTGTGCGGTGAAACTAGCCAAATTCTATCGCAGGATGGATACCGAGGATGTGTATGATGAGTAAGTAAAAATAGAATGAGTCAGAGTAACAGGCTCCATTGCACTGGTATTCAGCCAGTTCACACCAGTTCTGGTGACCCGGTAGCAAGAATTTGGCGTGGGTCGTGGAACCAATAGTGACTTCTGGCTGGCCACGCCCCCGAACCAGTACGGTCGTGCGACGATTGCTCACCCCTTCCCGCTGCTCAACGTTCATCCTGCCCACCCCTGCCCTATATATGTTGCCTTCACCACATGGCCCAGCTAATCGCCTTCCAGTTGCCTTGTTGATAACCGGTCAGCTCACCAAAGGTAAGCAATGCATGCCGCCCACTGACCCTTTGTCTTGGCTTGGGGGCTGGGGCCCCAGGGACGCGCACTATTCCCTGAGTCCCTGGAACCGTCAGCTGCCTCGACTGGGTCGGGGAATGTGTGATTCCCCAGCTCCGGCCTTGCCCCGGAGCCGCCGCCCGCTCACTACCCACTCTCCCTTAAGCATGATGCGCTGCCCATTTTCCCCTCTGGAGGGGAAAGGCCTCTGGAGGCCAGAAACAGTCCAATTTTTGGCCTGCAGAGTGCTTCTGGAAGCCAGGGCAGGCAAAAATGATATGTATGGAAGGCTTGGGAGGCCAAAGACAGGCCTGATTTGTGCCAGCAGAGTGCTTCTGGGGGCTGGGGAGGGCAAAAATGGGACATGTGGAGGGTTTGGGAGGCCAAAAACAGGCCCGTATTTGCTCTATAAGATGCACAGGCATTTCCACCCACTTTTTTGGTGAAAAAAGTGCCTTATAGTACAAAAAACGTGGTATTTTGACACCCTCCCATGCCAGCCCCTCCCTCAGAGATAGGTCATCTTTGTGGTGCTAGAACCATTCATGTCTTATTCAGAGCAACTTTTAAGGGTTGTGCTAAGTCTTGGGTTGGCTCTGGCTGGGTCATTTCTTGTTGGGTGAGAGCTGGTGCTGCACGCCGCTTGGATGAGATGATGGCTGTCATCAGTACCTCTCAGGCACTGTTGTACTTCAGCCTGTAGGAGATGGCATCTGCAAGGAAGTTGCCCGCCCCTCCCCGACATATGCGGAGTATGAAGTTGAACCAGTTAAAGCAGGGGAGGGATTCAAATTTTTTAACAACTGGTTCTATGGGCATGGCTTAGACAGTGGGCGTGGCTTGGTGGTCATGTGACTGGGTGGACATGGCTTTCTGGTCATGTTATTGGCTGGGCGTGGCCAACTCAATATCACTCACATCGAGAAACGCATCTCCTCACCTGGCCTTTCATGACTGTGGGGATGCTGCAACAGTCATAAATGTGAAAAATGGTCATAAGTCACTTTTTTCAGTGCCATTGTAACTTTGAATGGTCACTCCACTCAAGCAAAGTACCAGTAAAGGAGGGAAAAATAATCCAGAGAAGTTCCTGAGACAGGAAGTCTAGTCCTGCCAAGAATGTAATAAGGATTAACTGAGAGGCAGTTTCTGTAAGCAACACCAGAATGTTTCCTTCCTGCCTTCCTTACAGGATTAGGCCAGTAATTTCTTCTAACAACCGGTTCTCCAAACTGCTTAGCATGTTAACAACCTGTTCTAGCAAATAGGTGAAAACTGGTAGAATCCCAAACCTGAATGCAGCTGTCCTTGGGGAATACAAGAATGTCAGTCCATACATTTTCTTTTTTCTGTTGATCCTGAAAAGAGCAATGAGGATAAACGGAGCCGGTAGGCAAGGCACATTTTACAAAATCTCCCTGCCAACACCTGTGCTCACTGATATGCGCAAAGGCACAGGTAAAGCCACTGCTGCAATTTGAAACTGGGGACAATTCTTGTCATCTCTCTGATAACTGCAGGCAAAGTAGATTGGAGAACCCTCCAAGAACAGCCACAATGCAAGAGGATCACACATGGAACCAAAATTGTGCTATATTTTCTAGGAGTATCTGCAAGGTGTGGCCAAAATAATCAGAATGGCAGGCACAATCAAGATGGCAGCCATAGCAAAAAGATGGTGAGAAGCTTGGAAGCTAAATTCCACACAGACTAGTTGTAGGAACTTGGCATGAATAGCCTTAAGAAGAGAAGACAACTGCGGGGAGGCATAGCCATCCAAAATTTGAAGGGTCAACACAGGGAAAAGTATGTGATTTATTCTCCACAATAAATTTAATAAATAAATAAAAACTACAAGTTCTACAAGATTGGCCCCGTTATGGCAGCCATGTTGATTTTTTTTACCACATCTTGAAATTATTCCTGATAGTTAGCTTCCATATTTTCCTTGCCATAGCTCTTAGTTTATGCCCTGCTCTGCATAATAGGATTTCTCTTTTTCCGTCTTGCAGTTCATCTGTCTCAGGGATTTGGCACATTATGATAACTGTATTTGCTGATTTTTCACTAGTCTCTACTTTTATGAATCATTTTCGGTAGGTTTTTCCAATGCCTTTTCCAATCCCCCCCCCCCCCCCCCCTTTTTTTAAACATCGTCTCATTTGTTTCTTTGAGACGAAGATTGTGTTTATATCACACTTTTGCTATAAGAGAAAAAAAAATACTGCTATGCCAAACATTATTTTCTAGAAATAACATGATAATTCTTTTTTCTTATTATTTTTGTAGTGTTGAAACTATGCCCATGAAAAAGTAAGAAAGCTTTATTAATCATATGGCATGTAAAGCGGGAGTGATTGTGATTTTGTTTTTTTATGGGTTTTTAAGTTTCAAACATAACATATTTAGATTGTCAAACATTTTCAAACATAACATATTTGGATTGTTGATTTTTCTCTATCACTGCCTTTTTGATCTACATACATAGCTACAAAATTTTACATTCAAAATGTTTCGACATGGAACATTCTGTAGAATTCCCTTCCATTCCATAGATTTCATAGGCTCCAATGAGAGTCTGTTTATTTGCATTATTTTATATGTTATAGGATACTAGATGAATTGGTGTTTTCTGTTATTGGTTGTGGTATAAGTTGCTTTATCTAACATTTTTTGGAAAGGCAACTGATAACATTTCAGATAATGACCTTTTTAATTACCATCTTTGTAACTGCAATTTGAATTAAATTGCGTTTTATCATTAACCCACTCCTTTCCTCATGTATTTATTTTATTACAGTTTGGAAAATTGTAATATTGGTTATCATAAAGAGCAATTATATGGTATACACAATCCAGTTATGACAAGGTAAACCAAGTTTAAAACTGCCCACCTTTTAAGTGTCCTTAGTGTTTCTTGTATTGTTCATATACACTTCTGCACGTTTTAAAGTCAATATCTTTTCTTTTTGCATGATTTTTCCTTGACTATGTTTTTTCACATTATATCCTATAAAAATATAATTTTAATAGTGAAATTGGTTTCATTACTTAGCAACTGCTCTCTTTTTAAACATTGTTTTCAAAACATTTATTTGAAGTTGAAAAGCATTACAAATATGTCTTTTTTAAAAAAACAAGCCATAGTAGTTTGAGTTATATATAAATTAAATAGCAGTCTACATACCATTATTTTATTTTAAAAACCTATCATTTTAAAAATAAAGCCATACATACATACATACATACATACATACATACATACATACATACATTCAACAAAGAACAAAAATGTAAGATGTATTAAAAGGAATATTTGTAAACTAAACAAGGAAATTAAAAATACATTAGTTTATATTTAAATTATATTTATCATATTAAAGGCCATGTATAAATAAGTAGATAAAGTAGACTATTAAATAAGTAGACTATTAACATTATATTTTTTTCTCTTATTTCCATATTATGATGCAATTTTTAAACAAGGAATTAAACTAGACAGGATCGTATTATCTTGGCTAATATCCCAGCTGATTCCAAGGCTGAGAGTTGACAAATTTTATGGTAGCCAACATCTAGAGTCTAGGATACCATTATTCTTTGATGATCATCTGATCAGGCTTCTTGCCACAGTCCAATGGCATTATATTCTAAGTGCTCTATAGAGTGAAAGATTCCAAATTTTTGGAATATATTTTAAGAAAACATTAACTTTTTTAAACCTTAAATCCCTTCTAGTTACCCCTAGCAATAATGACTAACCAATTGCAATATTTCTAACATGTACCCCAAAGTTCCTTCAGCTTTGGATATGCTGAAAACCAGCTTTTTGAAGTAAAGCAAAGTTCCACAGCAATATTTGCTAAGGAACTAGGGGAAAGGTTGAAAAACAGAACAAGACCACCCTATTTCACAATTGTCATGGACAATTTTGAAGTTAGATGCCAATTTCTAAAATTGAGATGGTCTGTTCAGAATACTTCAAACTCCAAATCTACTTCTGTCACAAATCATCAGTATTTCTAATTTTAAAAATTAATAGACATTGAAAACTCCTTTTGTGAAAAGTTGTCTTCTATAGGGATATTGACAGGAAAATCTGTCGAAAGCACGTTAGGAAATCAATTAGCATTCTTTCAAGCATCCATTTCCTTTCATCTTTCCATAGTCAAAAATCATACCATGGACATCTATGCTGAAGGAACTTTGGGGTACATTGGAGAGATATTGCAAAGACTAGCTCTTGAACTCCTTTTCCCCAATTTTTCATACCAAAGCTTTATAACCTTTGCTCTCTTCCCCTAGTTATTCCTTATCTTCTTTTCCAATCTGCATGCCCTTGTTCTCAATTCTTAGTGGATTATAAAGAGCTTTATGTTTTTGTTCATAAAGAAAAGTCGAGGGCTCAATGCCCTGGTGCCTTTTGTGATCACAAATGCATGACCTCATCGTGGCTACATTTCCAACCTAGGAATTGGAATAAAACTGGGTAATAAAAGCTCCTTTTCACTCTTCAGTTTCTATATTGTATTGTTCTTGACTTACCATATTTGTGTAGTTATCTCCATACAGATTTATATTTTTGTGGATTTTTTCCCCTCTTAGCTCTGTGGAACAGTGGTAACTCAGACTGGAATTATTAACCGTAAGTTGCATGGCTTATTTATCTGTTAAAATTTTGGTGGCCTTAAAAAGTTCATGTAAATGCTAACAAAGATGCAAATGTTTGAGGGCAAGGCTTCCCAAATGATTTTCAACTCTTTATAGTGGTGGCCATTTTCACTTGTGTATGTACTTTCATTGCATGTGTGTGTGTGTGTATGCACTGGGAAGCCCAGGGCCACCTGCCTAAGCTTCAGATGGAGGAAGAAGAGAATGTCTTAGAATTTGCCTTTCTTTTGGAGAGGCAGTGGGGGATGACAATGACAACGAGGATGATTTTCTCCACAGCTCCAGACTCATCCAGCCCATCTGTAGACCTGATTTTTCTGCCTTGGCTTTGTCTGCCATGTCAACTTTGGCTCTAGACAGTTCATTTTTCAGAGAGAGATCATGCTGATGGGTGGACAGACAGACAGATAAGCCTAGGCCTCTTGATATTTTTTTTTTCAATCTTCTGTCATATTAGAAAGATTAAAAGCCCCCTCAGAGGCACCAGTTGTCATGGAGGCCTCTGCAATTTTCCCTATTTTTGACCCGAAACATGGCAGTATCCGAGTCCACTTATAGTCATGTTTCCACTATCACTGGAAAGTGATTTCACCTCTATTCTCTTGTAATGGGACAATCCTGAAAGAGCTCTGAATTTTGTCTTGTGACTTTCTTTTCAGCTTCTGGAAACAACAGTTTCTCCTCAAGGAAGGCACCACTGAATCATCCTGTTTGAAGACGGCACAGCAAACAAATTTTGCATAAAAAAAAGAATTACTGAATCTTTGGTCATAAAGTGAATGACAATTCACCAATGACAGGTTAACCAATGACAGGTTAATGGCAATCAGGCCACCTGGCCTCCGTTTTTGCTGCCAAGAAACCATTAAAACTTAGCTGTAATGGGCTGTGGTCTTGTTTCATTAAATTGTTTTCATTTTTTTTTCGTGTATCATATAAATGAAATGAAACAGGTCTAACTGAATATTGTCCTCATTTTATTTTATTTTTGCTTCACCTAAATAGTCTGTTCAAAATGAATTAGATTCTTCTTAAAATATCCAGTGATGTTTGTATGCTTTATAAAATATGTTTATATGAAAAATGCATTTGAATACAGAGACTTTTATACCTGAGATTTTTACAGCTGTCTCACAACAATTAAGCAACATTTGTTATCTTTCATAAGTAACCTGTTCAGTAATCAATATTTCTCTGGTGCTGTTAAAAGTGCAGGAAAAAAAGCAACTATGGAACTATGGATCCTGTCTTATGCTGTTTTCAAAAATATGAATGTAAATGAAGGATAATATTTTTTCTGATTTCTTATTTAAGACAGTATTTTTATTTAGGCTGAAACATGTATCTATGCGAGGAGAGCAATGTATGGTTGATTTGTCTGTCTCTGAACACACAGGTAGACAAATAAGCAGTGGGGATCTTTTATAATATAAGAAGAGATATTCCCCCAAAAAATCTATCTGAAGCTTCAGGAAAGTGATTAGATGCACCAGAAGACAACCACTGACTCACTTCGGTGAAATATCTAAATATTGTAAATCGCCACCATATTCCCAATGTGAATAAGTCTGATTCTCCTAGTCATTATTTCTGAATCACAGAAGCTGTGTTGAGGTTGAATTTTTGATACCTACCGTGTTTCCCCGAAAATAAAACCTATCCAAAAAATAAGACCTACTAGATTTTTGTGCATGCATCCGATATAAACCCTATCCCCAAAATAAGCCCTACGTAAGTGCCTGTGCAGCCATTCAGCCGCCCATTCCATCTGGTTTATTGTGTCATGGCTGCAAGGCGAGATGGAGGGGTAGAGCTGCTTCACACGCCCCGCGCCAGCTTACCTCAGGGTCCATGCAGCCAGGCCATCCATGCCAAGACATCACTCAGCCTCCTCTGTTGTGGCTGCATGAGCAAGCAGAAGTGGGCTGGCAGCCACACAAGGCCCTGCTGGACAGGGCTGGTGGAGCCATCACCACGAGGCGAGGCAGGTGTTAGGGCATGGGTGGCTTGGCTGTGGGGCCCTAAGGTAAGCTGGTGTGGGGTGTGTGAAGCAGCTCTACCCCCTGCCTTGCGGCAATGGCATTGATGTAACGTGTGGCCTCCTGCCCTGCCGCAAGCAGAAGAAGTGAGCCTCCGATGTACTCTTAAATTACATGGGGGAAGAAATAAGATATCCTCTGAAAATAAGCCCTAGTGCTTATTTTGGAGCCCAAAAGAAAGTAAGTTCAGGTTTTATTTTTGGGGAAACGGTATGTAAATGAGAAGCTTCAGAGTATCTCAGAGCTGCTTTGCAGTGGCTAACATTGCCAAAGGTGTGACTTTTATTTTCAGGTATGTAGCAATAGCAATAGCACTTAGATTTATATACCGTCTTAGAGTGCTTTGTAGCCCTTTCTAAGCAGTTTACAGAGTCAGCATATTGCCCCCAACAATCTGGGTCCTCATATTTCCCACCTTGGAAGGATGGAAGGCTGAGTCAACCTTGAGCCTAGTGGGACTTGAACTGTCAAATTGCAGGCAGCTGATAGTCAGCAGAATTGCCCTGCAGTACAGCATTCTAACCACTGCACCAAATGTGAGGTAATAAATTGTGATATAACATTGTCTTTGAACAATGGAAGGGAGTATGAATGATTTCTACAATTATGAAGAGGGGCCAGTACTATTAGATGATAATTGCAGAAAGAACGTGAAGAAATATTGCGGTATATGCCAATAATACTAAGAATGTGTTCCTACATGTACAGTCCATTTTGGGAGATCACAAGATTTTCCAAGCTGGAATTGAATTCTAATAATCATTCTAATAATCATTTTAAGATACTTAAAGATTGGACAGTTAATATGCACCCATAATTTAATTATGCAATATGCAATCAGAGTAAACCACATGATTCAATACTTCTGCCTAACACTAAAGTTTAAAAATAACTTGTATTCCATTGACTGCAGCAAGTTTTTCAGTAATAGGACAATTTTTAAGCTATCCAGTATGTAGAATACTTAAGAAGGTTGGGTATATGTGTTAGGTGTGTGTGTGTGTGTTCAATATTGTAGAAAAACATTCTTGTTTTTAATCTGACAATGTCTTTCAGTAATTTAAATAAAATCTAGATTGATATTTGTTTCAAATGGAAGGAGTTGGTAAACAAGATTAAAACTTGGTTGTCTATCAGAGATAAATGGATTCTGCTTAAGCAATTTGTTCCAGTTGTGCTGGCATCCATAATAAATCATGATGACATGTGAAATTATTGATCATGCTCAATTATGACATGCATCAGAAGAAGTCAACATGTGTGAAGAAACAGGTGCTTTCCTAGCTTCATTGTTGTCTTGTCTCCCCACTTTAGAAAGTCTATTGAAAGGAGGGGGTCTTCAGCAGCACACAGGGAGTCTTAGATGAAGAAATGACCAATTACTCAGAATAATCTAGAGTACTTAGAGGCAAATTCTGGCCCAAGATTCTGATATAGAGTATTTCTAGGGACAAATAACAGCACAGCTGCTCTTACTAACTGAGCTGAACAGCAACTTGGAATATGGTTTCATATGAAATCTCCAGTAATATCTTGAATTGATAGTTGGTAGATTTAATGGAATATGCATACATAATATGTACCCCAATACCCAATACTTGATTGGGATAAGATCAGTATTCATAATACTTTGCATTGTCCCAACCTGGATATGTAAGAATAGTTCATTTTGTGGGGATGAATTTTCCAAACTTTCAACTATTTTGTGGGGATGAATTTTCCAAACTTCAAGTGGAAAAGTTACCATTTCTACATCTCCTCCCAGAAGCTCCTCTGGAGTTAACTTTGTTGCTTTGGTCCTTGATGCAGGACTGAAATTCCACATGGCCAGTACAAGCTCTGTGAAAGAAGAATAGGCATTTGTAACATATACAGAGAAAAGACTCAAGTTGGAGTAGTAAAAAGAGAGCTTTAAGTCCAACACAAATCTGAATTTAAAATTTGAAATCACATTCAACAGCAGAAGGAATTTCATAATGAAGGCACTAAATCCCAAAATAATATAAGCATCAACAGGATCTAAAAGGGGCAAGAGTTGCGTTTCCCAGAAAGGATTTTAGAAAAATAAGAGTAAATCATAACCACCGCTATTGCCCAGTGTGGATCTTTTATCCCAAATTCTTCACTTCTGTTCTTAAAAAGTGCTAACAAAAAATCCCCACAATGGTAAAGTAGGTCAACAACAAGAGTGTTGATGGAAGAATTCTTAAAGTCCTTCCCCTTAGCTCCCTTCTTAAAGCTGGCATCTTTGTTTTTTTCACATTGGAAGCTTCTGAGGCAGGTGGAGAAGTCCCACAAACATGACCAGTAGATGGTGCTACAACGACAGTAAAAATAACCCACATCAATGCATGCTACTTCTCCCAACAGGTGAGCAACTGAGGTGACCTGAAAATAACTAGTCACTCCATGTCTCATTCTGTGGTGGCTAAACCAAAAGTCTTTGGAAGCTGAAATTGAAAAGTCTACTGGAAAGATGCAAAATAAAGTTCCTTCTGGTACTAAAATATGACATCTGCTCTGGGCATTCCCAGGTCAAAGATATTCTTGTCTCAGATACACTTTTCTAGGGCTGCCCTGCTTCCTGCAGGATATCAGTGATGCATTCCTGGAAAATAAGGCAATCTACAGTCTAGAAGAACCTGAATGGATAGATATTTAGCTATCTTGTTAATACAAGACTTTCACAACATTAAATCTAAACACTGAGATTGTAGCATCTCAGAACGAAACAGTTCAAGGTTAACCCGCAGGCATATTAGCCTTTAAAAGAAAATTTGTACAGAAAAGAAATTGCAGCTTATAAGCCACAAAATAGCAATTCCCTTGAGCACTAGAAGTGAAAAGCTGGAGATTTAATCAAAGCTAATGGTATCTCATTGTTCTACATTTTCTGTGTCTGAAGATTGTAGCAGACACCTTTGACCTACAAGGTGGCTCCTATCTTTTCTCAAGTTGTACAACTCCATGATAAGGCTTCTGTCGCTGTTGCAGATACCCTGGAAACTATTTTGGGTGAAAGTTTGCCAGGGCATGGGTTTCCCTTTTAATGTATCCCTGTCCAACATACCAGAAGTCAAATGACAAAAAAAGGATGGTTGCAATGACTCCAGCATATAATTTGTGTGTTTTTAATCTTGAACCTTCTTGAGCTCATAAATGACTTAGATGAGGGAATAGAAGGGGGAACTTAGCAAATTTGCAGATGATACTAAAGTGACAGGAATAGCCAACACCCCAAATGATAGGCTCAAGATCCATCAGGCCTCCGTCTGTTCAAAACCCAAGAAAGAACCCCTTCCCCAACTACATTGAGGTAGAGAAGAGGTACTTTTACTGAGTTTGAAATGATAGCAGTGAAAGAAAAGCAAGATCTGAGCCAAAAGGCACAAAGGTTACATATTGAAAGTTTCCCTAAATCCTTTCCCCCCAGGCTGAATGTCCAATCCACGTCCCACATAGTGTCAAAACATCTTCAGGTGTTTTCGTCCATCTGGAGTTCTAGGATGGTTGGCCTTGACTGGGTGTAAACAACTCCATTCAGCAGCACGGTTGTTATTGAGAGCAAACCTCCCTTTTAGTTCACATGGGTATTCCTCACACCAGCATTTTCTAAACCTCACTGCCATGCCTCCCACCCCATTACTATGGCAGCCAATAGCAAGCAAGCATCAAACGAAAACCCAGGCTGGAGATCCAGGCTGACATTCGGGCCTCCTGCAATAAAGGCATTAGCCCTTTCTATTAAATTTGAAAATGGACATGCTGCCTTCCTAGAAAAAACAGGAAGTCCATCTGAAAGAAAACAAAAAGAGGGAAGGGGAAACACAGAAAACATAAAATCAGTGAGGTTTGTCAGGTATACAATTGATGAAATATGCATATTAATTTAGCACATGTCTTTATGAACCCATTCATTGTGTGAGAAGGAGAGGTGATTCCACGCTACCAGGTACTGAGTGGCTCCATGGAATTTCCTAGAGTCTAGAATTTCTTGAACTTCAAAATGTTGTTCGCCCTCTACCATAATAGGAGATGAAACAAGGGTGATAGTTGGACAAAGGTCAGAGGTAACTTCAGGTTTCAGCAAGCTACAGTGGAAAATGGGGTGGACTTGCCATAATGACTTAGGGAAAAAAGCCAATGTATTTTGGGCCCAGCTTTTTAGACTGCTGCAATTTAGAAACTTAACTGGACTTGAACTGGGCAGGAAGCCAACCTATACTCATAACTAGCCAAGAACATATAATGGAGAGTCTTGGCCACCACCAAATATTGAGAAAACAAGATGGTGAGAAGATATTCTAGAAGACATTCTCCAAGTCTTTGTCTTGAGAAGATTTCCTGGATAAAAAAAAAAAAGGATGTTCACTGTGATCTGATTTTTTTCTGGTAGTTTCATACTTTATATTTCTCAATAGTTGACTAAGTTATGACATCTTCACTCATAAGTCAGGGCATGTTTTCTAGAAGCTATAAGACATAGCCTGAATGGAAAGCCTATCTTTACATGCACAGCTAGCTGTTTCCTTCACTACAAGAAAGATGACACAAAAAGGACCGTGAAAGGGAATATCAAGAAGGAAAATATGTGGATATATGAGTATTAAAAATTCTTACATAAACCTTAGTATGACACAATAGCTTATTTGTAATGGTGTGTAACAAAGATCTTAGAAGACTGGACCAAGAGTTATTGCCAAGAGAACAGTCAGATAAAAGGCAGCATAGCTAGATAATGGGTGGGGCAAGAGACTCAAAAGACACCTTCCCTAGTTTCTCAAGTTGTAAAAGATATCAAAGGGACTTTGAATATGGATTTTAAGTTTGCAAGATTCTGTTGGTGTAGCTTTGCAATAAAGTAGGATTAGTTCATATGGTTGTGATTTCTATCTAGTTTATTCCAGGAGGCTAACAACAATCTTGCAAGTATGAAAATCCAGTCCCCCCACATCTCCTTTACGGACTGAAATGCTAAGGAGGGTCCTTCTAGATGTAGAATCTCTTGCCCCACCCACTATCTATAACAATAGCAATAGCATTTAAACTTATACACCACTTTATAGTGCTTTCCATCCCTCTCTAAGCAGTTTACAGAGTCAGCATATTGCCCCCCAACAATCTGGGTTCTCATTTTACCCACCTCAGAAAGATGGAAGGCTGAATCAATCTAGCTGAAGCTATGCTCTCTATTATCTGATCACATGGCAAATCTCTTTGCCTTGTCTCCCAAGGCCTTTTCCACATACATTATATCCTTGGGGGAGATGAAGAATTAAATTTCTACATAGCAGGAACAAGAGATAAGGAAATGACTGCAGGAATCAATTCTGCTTCTGAAAACACCACTACCAGCGCAAGACCTTAAACACAAACACATTGGTTGTGGAATTAGCTGGAGTCTCAAAGATTTTGGCCAGCGGAAAACTTGGAGCAGAAGCCGTAGTCACCATTGGGAAGCTGTGCTTGTTTGCAAAATGGCTGGCAGGATGACTTGGCCAAAGAAGACCAGGAGGTGCAGCCTGGGAAGAAAATTATCTCTATCACCAGTGTGCCCATAGACATGACACAGGAAATCTCAGACAATAGATTTTGTTTGTTGTGGTCTACTAAATTTCATGGTAAGCCAGCTAATATAAGCTGAAAAAGCCTTTAAGCCTTTTCTTTTGGGCCAGTGCCTAGCTTTTTTGTGGCAATTTGCCCAGATTAAAGACCTCATCACAGAAGGCAAAGTCTATTTCTGTGTTCAATCAGTGTTGCTACAAGATGATTGGCAGGAGAAAGCAAACTCTATTGCAGTGAATGGGACTTCTGCTTATTATACTTAGGTGATAACAAGGACTTAGCTGCACTCCGTGGCACCTCATGCCATCACTTTTTCCTTCTATCCATTGGGAAACCCTTCCCTGCTCTGATTTTGCCATTATCTATTGGAAGTTTCTACTCTCAGCCTCAGGCAGGGCCATGGGAGAGCTTATTATACTTCTTCCCTTTCTCAAGTCTGTAGCTTTTACTTCATTGTACTCATCTATTTTTTTCTTCTGTTGCAAATTTGATTTTGCCCGTTCCAGAAGGTGTGTCTTGGTAAGTGAGTAAATCACACAAATCTACTACCATGAAGCTATAGGATTCTGGAGGCATGTAGGTGTGTCTCTGAGTATATAAATAAGCAGAAATGTGCCATACTTCAGAGGCGTGCCAGCGTGATTTTTATAAGACAGCAAAAGGTATGTATTCTTGCACTTTTTAATCAGCAGTGAAAAACTGCTCAGAACTGCAAGACTAGATTTCCTGCTTGCCTTCTGAAGATCAAACTACATATTACATGTAATTGCTTATTTCTGGGCTGTTTTTGACAGTTATCCCCAACAAGAAGTTGCTTCATCCAGTCCTCCCCATCTCTCTTTCGTCAAAGTTACCAAGTCAATTTCTCCCCACCCCCCAGAACAGAAAGATATGGTATCCTACCTTTAACATGTAGGAAACTGTAGGGATTTCTGTGGGTGGATAGTTAGTAGGAAAGTATTAAAAGTATTGAATCTCCATCATGTCAGCTCCTGATTGCAGCTTCCAAGACTTATCAGTAATTTGTAGTAACCAACACAAGTATATCAAAATGAACTTTGGCTCTTCCTAATAAATCTGTGGGATTGTACCATAGCATAAAATACCTGAATTTTAATGCCTTTGTGCATTGCATGTCCCTTGAGAATTCATTGTGCTATTTAATCCCAGGTAGGTCTGCATAAGATTGCAGTCTTAATATAACTGTGCAAATTCAACTCTTTGGACTGTGGACTGAGGATTATAGTATTAGATTTCCATCTTCAGCAAGGCAGGAAAGTTGAGGTGCAGAAAGTCAATTTGCTATCTCCCTTACCAAGAAAGTCAGACTTTAGATGACCAATCCTCTGTTGAAATAGAAAGTCTTCCCACTAAGTAGACCTCACTTTTTGTGATGTGAATGAATTGGTTTATTGTACTCAGGAAAAAGTAGTTTGAAATTGATTGAGTTCACTTATCATGTGAATAGTTCTAATGAAGGAAATGGGACAGATTTGTAAAGGAAATAGAATTGTATTTCATGTATATCAAAAAAGTGGCAGGTGAACCACAGGATATTTTGTTCCATGATCCAAATTGTCAGAACCAGAAAGGAGTAAGGAAGATGTGACATGACTAAGATGGTTACTTTAATATAAGAAGAGGGTTGTAGGATTCTTTTTTAAATATAATTTTCCAAAGCTATGGCATCATAACACTGTTTAAATATATATTTGCTGTTTTATCAGTCTTTCCTCTCTGGACCTCACAATAAACCTGCCATGTGAAGTTTATTCCACAATGAGAGTTTCACATTAGCTGACACCAATTATCCCTCAAATTCTAAAGCAAAATAGTTTTCCTAGTTGTTGATTATCTTCTTGGTCATATTATTTTCTTTCTATTTGTAACATTTCTCCATTCCTCTAGGTCTGATATCCCTACTTTTGGCAATTCTTTAGAATTTATATGGTTATAAATAATTCTTTTCATTCAAATGATGTTTCTTCAATTCGTTTAAGTAGAAAGCAGCTGTAATCTGGGCTAATAATTTCACCTAACCCCATTCACCTGCTGCTGATTATCTGTTTGAATAGAGGTTAGGAAAAAAAAAACCATCTAGTGTACACCAGACCCAAATGTCATCCAACTTCAGCAGCAGATTAGTAATGGAGGTCCACAAATTTATAGGAATCAACCCTTCAAATTGCCCCATGTATCTCCATTTAGTAACATTGTGGTCATGCTATGGCTTCCTTGCAAGGAGGAAAAGGAATAGTTTCACTATTTATATTATGCAGACTTAAAAGTTCATGCTCAAAAATATCATTAGGAGAAGCACTGATGTTGTCCTATTTTACAATCTTTGCTGATAATAGATAATAGATTATATTGGGGCATGTCTAGCATACGTAAGGATAGATACATATTTTTACAAGGGACTTTTGTTTCTAAAACAGGTTTCAAAAAGCACTAGGAAACATGAAGATCAAGCGTTTTGCTCTGCTGTGTGTCCTCATGATGTTCTGTCAACTACTGCAAACTGACAGTGAAACAGTGAAAGAGAGAAAAAGAGAGAGACCGAATAATGGCAGAGGGGGAAGAGCCCAGGCTAGACCTAATAACAATCACAAGGGTCAGAGAAACAGAGGACAAAGAGGTTCTCCCACAAAAGGGAAGTTTATAACTAAAGAGAAGGCTGAATGTTCCTGGATTCTAAATGAGAAAGAGACCACTCTGCTAAAGGTAGACTGCAAAAAAGGGGAAGATGCCTTTTCCTGTGCTTTTTCTGGCAGCCCGTCTACCTGCCCACGGTATGCAGAAAACCAGAAGGTCTTCTGGAAGGAAATAACTCGATCTCTAAAGAAACAGAAGAATCTCTGTAAGGACCCCAAGACTCTTTTAAAATCTAAAGTCTGTAAGACCGGCCCACCTACTGCCCATCTTAGACTGGTTATGGATGCCAAGCCAGAAACCCCAACACCCAAGCAACCAGAGAAAGAATCCGGCGATTGTGTGGAAGATATTGATTATGTGGATCAGAAAAAGGTGGCTGAAGAGTACTGCTCTGAAACGTGGCAACATCTTTGCTTCTTCATAGTTTCAATGATACAAGATAAAAAGTGCAAGTAGAAAGCCAAGGAAGGTGGACCAAGTTACTATGGGCACAACTGTTTTGCAAACAGTATCAAGAGCAAACAATATGAATTATTCTCTAGTGCATCTGGTCAAACTCCTCTTGTGGAAGTATTGTAAATGCAATGTATTTTGTTCTTTTGCTAAAAAAAATATGTAACTGTAACTATTAATCCTCTCCACCTGTCACCTGATCCTTTCTTCCTCTGTTTAATTTGGGAGAAAAGTGTCAAATGAAAGGGATAGATCTGATGGAAGGATTGCCAGCAGTTGTTTTCTATGTCATAATATGCAATATGAATACAAAGGCACATTTTATTAGGTCAATTTGATTTTTGCACATCAGTGCCCAAGATATCTAAGAACACTTTATCAAGCAAGAAGAAAAGGAAATCTGGGTGGTGGTGGTGATATTTAGTATTTAGGAAAGGAAGAGTAAAAATGAGCTTTTTCATCAAAGATACAATAAAACTATTTTTCAATGGATTTCATGGGTGTCTGGTGGTGGGAAAGTTTTTAAAAAGTCAAGATGGAGACCACAGCTATGCAATCAAAGTCTCATTCCCATTGTGGCAAATGTAAAAGAGGGCCAGGCTTGGATAAAAATGGATTTGTATAGTGAACTATGCAAAAGTTACAAAGATGTGAAAAGTTCCATGCATTGCTTCATTCTTTCCTGTATATTTCTAGCTAAACTAATTATTTCAGTGCTATGCACTTTTTTTTTTTACTTTTGAATGTATATTGCTTAAAATAAAGCCTTTTAAAACAGTTCTCTGTGGTTCTGTCTTCTGCTTGCCCCAATTTTCTTTCCTATGTGGGCATAATTTGCATGCAGTCCTAAATGCACTAACTCGGAACTAAATTTTTAGTGAGACTAATGGCCACTATCTACTCACTAGCATTTCAGTCTAGCAAATGGAATTGAACAGCATAGAGAATTTGGGGGAAGAGAAATCCATGGGACAGAATTGGCAATATTAATGTAGAAATCAACTGCTCTAACTGCTGTGCAAAATTTGCCTCCCCCCAATTTTGTTAAATGGGATCACTATTTTAACGGGTAGGGCAGAATGGAGATTCTGAAAGGCCCCATAGTCTTGAATAGATTCAAGACTGGGGGTGGAGGGAACAGAACAGAATAACAGAGTTGGAAGGACCTTGGAGGTCTTTTAGTCCAACCCACTCCTCAAGCAGGAAACTGTATACCAAGCCTTCAGAAAAAAAGTTACTTTTATATTTTCTTTTTAAATAAACATCTGACAGCAGATATCATTATAAATAGCAGGCTTTGTTTTTAAGTAAGAGGATTTGCCTTTGATCTGAGTACTCTGAACTCACTTCATTTAATCATTTGTTTTTTTAATATCATTTTTAATGTCAACACCCGCACCCGCAGCGCCCGCAGGCAGTCAAGTATAAGCTCTTTTGAAGATATAAAACAGGGGTGTCAAACTCAAGGTCCGGGGGCCAGATCTGGCCTGCGGGGTGATTAGATCTGGCCTGCAGGGCCACCCTGGAAACGGCGAAAGACTGGCCTGCGGTGCCTCTGCCGGCAAAAACAGAACTCGGGTGGGCTGCACACAGTCCTCTTGAGCTCTGTTTTCATTGGTAAAGGGTTACTTACAGGAGGCCGTTGCAGCCGAAAACGGAGCTCAGGAGCCTGTTTTCTCTGGCAGAGGGCTTGGGCCACCACAGGCACCCCTGACACGAGTGATGTCGAGCTGACCACACCCACTCTGGCCCTCTGAGGTAAAATACAATCCAGATGCGCCCTTCAATGAAATCGAGTTTGGCACCCCTGATATAAAACATCTTTAATCACTCCAACAACCAAGAGCCATGTAGGCTTGATACATCAGCATGTGGTCCCAAATAAATTTTGTTAGTGCAATAAAATTAATTTTAGAACACCTTCAGCTACTAATTCAGATTTCCAGTCTCTGCAAGGTGGAGCTATTCTATCAGCCCCCAAACAAGTCCCATGGCTTTCAATGCATGAACATCATTTCTTTGGCTCTGTTACAGGTAGAGAGGTAAGGCAAAAAAGCTCCATAAATATTTTGGGGGGTTGTAATCCTGGTCTTATAACATTTTGTCATGGGTTGTCATTTCTTAGGACATAGAACATTTTCACAAAATGGCTGGCCTCACCTTTTTCCCCTTGTCCTACACTTTTGCATTTAAGGCATCTGCAGGGAAGTTCAAAATAACCCACCTGTGGCAACTTCCACCTGTGGTCAAGTCTGCCCTCTATATATTTTTCATCTTCTCTGGCTGGACAGCAGGTAGAAGATCCATCCAATGCTTGTCCATCCAATGGCTGAGCAGCTGGCTACTCAGACTGACACAAAATGCTGATTGCATATATACAACATACGAAGGGATAAATTGGATATAACTCAGACATCATGTTTTCTGATTATAGATACAGCAGCAGGTACTGTGGATGACTGGTGTACACTGCAATGCTATCCTTTGCATTGATAGCATCAAGTAAATAGAATAAATGATGTGTGTTGTAGCTGAAGCAGATGATGTAGTTCAGTTTTTGGTTTTAATCATAATAAATAAAATTCTTATAAGCAATGCTGATATCCCCACCTCTCAGGATCATCTCACTTGCATGCCATGCAGATTATCTGTCTCTTGCACTTATTCCCTGGTGAGAGCATTGGTCTCTCTTTTCTTGTCTCCCAGGCTCAATTGCAGACCTCCCTACTTATTTCCCCCCAAGATTTCCCATCAAGACCCAACATTCCTCTTCTCCAGACAACACCCATGAAGTTTCAGGTCCTAACACAGGCCTTGTTTTTTCCCTTTTCCTTTCAGTCACCCCAAGCAGCAGGTTCTTTGCCCCCTCTTGCAGGTTGTGCGTGTATGTGTGTGCATGTGTGGATGGGATGGGTAGATATGATGCCTTTGACGTGTTGACTCACGGCTGGGCAAGACACTGCAGTTTTCTTGGCAAGATTTTTCTTCCTAGGGCTGAAACAGAGTGATTGGCCCAAGGTTACCCAGTTGGCTTCATGCCCAAGGTCAGATTAGAAATCATAGTCTCCCTATTTCTAGCCTACTGTCTTAATCACTACACCAAACTGCTCCAAGCTGCCTGCCTCCCTCCCTCCCTCCCTTGGAACATCTAAAAGAAAGAACTGCTGTCTACTCACACTGTCCACATGAAATCAGAAACATGCAAAGGAATACAGCTCACCAATAGAAGAAAAAGCTTCATCCTGAAGTAGCGTCAGCTGTCCCACATCTAATTCCAACTGAATTAGAATGAATATTTTAGTAACTTTAGTAACTTTAGCTTTTAGCAAAGCTCTTTGGGGAACAGGAAGTTATGTCTGTGGACATCATAATGCAGTTTCTTCTAATATTTGCTTCCTTAAAGCTCTATTTTGTCCCATTTTCTTCATATCTACATGGTTCCTTGGAGAGGCCATTCTGGCCTTGAATCACATCAAAATTCTAACAATAGAAAGGTTCTCTCTGTTTCAATCTTGTGAATGAACCATCTAAAGCTTGATCCTGAGAAGATGAGGTCCTTTAAGCCAGTGATCACCAACCAGTGGGCTGGGAATTACTGGTGATCCATGAGAAAATGTTGGTGGTCCGCAGAGAAATGTCACCCCCAAAACACCCCTCAAAGCAATTAATCCAGGCTGTGTGGGAACATAAGGCTGCGCCACCCATATGGCCCATGGGAACACAAAGCTTGCGTTGCTTGCATTGTGAACAACACAAGGTAGTTAGGGGAGGGAGTGGGGGGAACTTGCCCCACTCACCCCACATGCCTGGCCTGGCCATTGGGCTGCTTCTTTCCACTTCTTTCTTCTTATGCTTTTGGCTGCATGCAAGGAAAGCAGCAAAAGTCTTTCTTTCTCTCCCCCAAACTCCACCAGAAACGAGTCTTTGGGACCCTGCAAGGCATCCTGCTCCAAGAGGCTGTGCTGGCACGACAAGTCTCACCAAGGCTTATTTCTGGTGGAGTTTGGGGGAGAGAAAGAAAGACTTCTGCTGCTTATGCTGCTTTCCTTGCATGAAGTCAAAAGTCCCTCTCTCTCTCTCTCTCCTCCCCCTTCTCCCTGAGAATGGAGCTGGAGATGGTATCCTGCGGTCCCAAATAAAGAATGATCAATTGGAAGGAAAATGGGGTGGGGAATTTTCCTGCAGACTTTTTGGGGGATTTCCCCAGGGTCTCTGGTCCATGGGATTTAAAATTATAAGTTTGGTGGTCCCTGAGATCCAAAAGGCTGGTGACCCCTGCTTTAGGCAACCTAATCTAAATTTATTTGTGATATTCTGGGTTCAGGGGTACCAAACAGGTGTACTTTTGATTGCATTGCCATGACCACCATCTTCACTTTTTTTTATCATAACGCAAGGACACCCTTGAATATGCAAAGGATCTGCCCCTTAAGTCTCTAAGAAAGGCTATGCTGACTTGCAGTACTGCCTTCATCTCTTTTCATGATAGGAAAGACTCTTCTGCACTGCTGCGCTGTTCACTCTATGGCTATGTTTAATGTTAACATTTTAGGGTGTGACCCTTCAATTTTGCTGGCTTTAGACTTACCCCACAGCAGCCAGTAAGTAGAGGCTGAAGTTAGGGGGTTGGATAGACTACTGTTGTTATTTTCATCAACAAAGCCCCACACTTATTTAATGCACTTGCTGGGTTTTTCAAAAAAGTGCTTTATTCATGATGATATAGCAGTTTGCATAATGCCAGATGAGATATTACCTACACTCTGAGCGGGAGTTTCCAAGATGAGGTTGTTACTACCTTGATTCTCTGTGAATATTTATTTCAGCCTAACTGCAAGCCTTGTGGTCCTTGGCGAGCTGTGTCCAAATCCACCTACAACTTTCCATCTTCTTCTTCTCCCATGGAAACTCAGTGTGTACATTTCCATTGCTTTCCTGCTCAACGTTACTCACTCACCTGCTTGGCCCCAGTTCAAACTCCACACCTTTCTAACTTGCATAAGAGCCTCCTGGGGATACAGGGTGAGTCAACTCCTCTTTCTCAGGCAGGGCCAATGAACAGCAACCATCCGATATCTCCTCACTGTCTTTGGCCAATCATGGGGGCCATGAATGATGAGCTGCTGCATATAATTTACATAATCTG